TGAATGTGAAAAAAGTGAGCTTAAGAAGACGAAATAACAAAATTTGGCAGGGTGAAAGATAAATGTTTACGTCGATTAAATGATAACTGCTTATGAATCAGACACTCAGCCAATCATCTTGCACAATAATGCACAAGACGATAGTTAACGTGAAATGTTTTGCCTGTTCTCTTCTGTATTACAACATATTGCATCAGATTTTGAAGATATGTAAAACACACACGAATTTTAAAAAAAGGAAAGATAGCAGCGAGTAGTTTCGATCTACCGCCCTCTGAGTTATGAGCCCAGCACGCTTCCACTGCGCCACGCTGCTTGTGTCCAACTTTAAAGTAACCTAGTCATGATAGTAGACTTCTGCTCAAAAGGGTCTGGGTGTGGACGAGGGGACGCATCACTTCAAAACATGCACATCCACACCCACATCCATTATTTATCTCTACTAATCGCGATGTGTCTTTTCTAATATACATCGGAAAAAAAAACAAAAGGTTTGAGGGATAAATATGTGATTCTAAAAAAAACCATATATTAATTTTTAATATTTTGATTGATATTTATATTTTAAATATTTTTTTCGAATCAATATTTGTCCTGAATAATTTCATAGCAGTTTTGTATAATTATTATCAATCACATAGTAAAATGTTTTTTCTTTGACGAATAACAAACCACTTGACTATAAACACTTCTAACAGTTACGTTTCTTATCAAAATGGAACAAATCGATATACAAGTTATTTTCTTTATTCCGCTTAGGTGCTTGAGTAGATGCAAAAAAAAAGAAAAAAATAAAAGAAAATCAGTAGAACAGACAGAACGTAAAATCTTATATTTGCCTATCGCCTCGTTGATACTATTCGTAAGACTCATTATACTTTTTTTTTCAGTGTGTATATACATCACTTGTACATGCATCATTTTCTTCATATAGTATTCTGATTATTAGTTTTATACATTGTATTATTTATTGAAGTATTACTATTAATATAAACCTCCAAGTGACATTAACCAACATCTTATATTTAATACATATCTACACATAGAATAGAATGGCGTTGATATTATTTTTATTTAAAGTTTCTAATATTGATATTTCCAATTCTAAATTGGAAACTATTGGTAAAAATAATGATCAATCAATATCTGATATGCCTACAACACAATTTATTAATGATGAAAATGTGACATTATTGAGTGCTAAAGTCATATTTCGAGGTATCTATTAATAAAATATGAATATAGAAAAAGAGAAGACAATAAATCAATATAAAAAAGAATGACAAATGAAAATTAACAACGGACTCTTGTACTTTTACTTGAGAAAAAATGATTTATTTACATGTACGGTATGACAGCAATATGACATGTAGTAATTGCTTCTCCTAAAAAAATTGACCTTGTAGCTTCCATATCCATTCACTACCTTGATTACGTAACATCAAAAATAATCTTTTTTTTTTGATTTCCAAATTATTCATTTTCTAGTTTATCTTTCTTTTCACATCATTTTTTAATGAACTTAAGAATCCATTGTCAAATTAATAACAACCTATGTAATAAATACTGAGAAACTACCATCGGTATACCTAATGTGCGCGATATACCAGTGGTACTAGTTATGAGATAAATTTTTATTAGTAAAATATATTCTGACACTGTTTTATTCTCGATTAATTTGAGTTCTTCCTAATGAATAATTCGAATTTGGATAGAAAACGCTTTCTAAAATCGTTTACAGCTGGAGCTAAAAATCGTAAGCACTACTGTTGATTCTGATGAGTACCACGGTACAAACGTGCAACATGAAAATGCTGATTTTTAAATAGTGTATGGAATGTCGCATAAGCTTTTTACTTTTTGTCCTTGATTTAATATGCATTGACCTATTCATTATCGATTCCTATTTACTTTGTTCGCTTCGATATATATTTCGAATGTTCTGTACGAAAAGGACGAATAGTGGATGTATAATTGCTTAATCTATCACGTTGCTCATTTATAGTGTTGTTTATTTGTAAGCAATCATGTTAAAATCTTTCGTAGATATTTCATACTTACAAAGCATATTTTTATTGATTTTTTTAAATTAAATTTAAATACTTTTTAATATACTAAATATAAAAAATGAGAATGAATGAAAATAAATTGTCTAAAAAGCAAATCAATAGAAGTTAAATATAATTATCATACAAAACAAAAATATGATATCTCAATATGAATAATAATGTTTTTCTTTTTGTGCTCGATATAAATTTTGAATGATTACAGTTGATTTACAATTTTCTATTAAAGGTATTAACCTTTGGTCAAATAATGTACGTATACGTGATGGTACAGCAAATTTTATTGCACGTGGAAATAAACCAAAGAAATTTAATTTCAATTTAGCAACTATGTTAGTACCCGATGATAAATTAAGCATCGAATTTTATATAATAAATGGGAAAAAAAAACGAAAAAAATTGTTTGCAACTTTTGAATTAATGCTTGAATCTTTAATCAATTCAAAATATATTGATTTATCTGAAGAAAATTTATCTGATCCAAATAATTCCTTATTACCATCAACTGTACAACTTAAACTTTATTATACACCACCAGATATTGATAAACAACTTGCTACAATAAGACATGATGATACCGTTGAATTGATCGATTGGAGAAATATATTTGATGACGAAGGCCGACATGGTGGTCATCGACATAGATATGTGCATTCAAAACATGATGGTCGATTGTAACTATTTAAATTAATATCAACCAATCCATATTTCTATTTGTTTCTATTATAGAACAAAACTTCGTAGAAAATTAGCCGGTCGTGCAGATGATGCTGATACTGATACATGTAGTGATTCAGATTTCGAAGTAGTTCAAGATTCTGAAAAAAAATTTGAATCGGTTGATAAAAATGCGAAAATAAAAATGCAACATAATGACATAGAATTATTAGAAAAAAGGTAAACAAAGAAAAATATTTCATTTTTATAATAAAAAATTTTTTCTATGATTCAAATTAAATATTAGTTTGGGTCGATATGTTGGTGATGTATATGAAATGATCGAATGGCAACTTATGGTACATATTATACAAGCACGAGATCTTCCAGGATTTAATATTAGTCCATATGTTAGTGTTCAAATCGATAATCAAAAACGATATACAAGTGTACAAAAATCTTCTAATTCACCATATTTTCGTGAAGTAAGATATTCAAAAAAAAAAGAAACATCATAATTAAAATATATTTATTTTCTAGTTCTTCACATTTGATTTTACACTACCAGCTACAAAATTTATGGAAAAAGTTATTATTATCAAAGTAAATTTTTTTATTTGATCATGATTAATTTATTATGGCTACTATTTAAGTAGTCAGTAAAATAGATAAATCATCAATATAAATATTAAACGGTCAGTGTCTTAAATATAAGCAACAGTAAAAAAAATAAGCTTTACTAGTAGAAAATAAATTTAAATTTATGCCGATCTCTCTATGAGAAGACTGTTATTTATGTGGTGGCAAGTTGGACATATATGTATTTATTGCAAAAAGTACAAAGTGACAAAAACAATACAATAAAATAAAGTTAAGATATTTTATATAGAGTACCGTTGTAAGTCGAGAGAATAAATTGGTAGGATAGTAGAATAAAATAAAGAAAATGTTCACGACCAGTGCTAATCACATTGCATAAATGAAAAGTCACAGCAGCTTCCAGCCTAAAATAAAAAAGTTGTGCTGTATGTGCCGTGGCTTCAGACCGTTGGGTTACAAGTACAACTTAATCAACTCAACATGTTGCATGCCAAAACATCCAACACGAGGAATTTGCCTTTTCGGCTTTGGTGTCACTTGACACAAGTAGTTCGCACTTAATATGCTAAAATCACCTTTATCCGGGAGAAATTATTCAGGATCATCTATATACTATTTATAATGGGAAATGAGTGGGCGGGTATTGAAAAGTTTAACTAGAAGAAATGTTGAAGTTTTAACAAATTAAACATGATTATATGAATCATTTTTCACTGAATGAGAGCGCAAGAAGATAATAATGAAATAACAACTTAACTACACATGATAAATCAAAGAACTAACGAATAAATAAGACGAAATTTGAAGAATAGTTGAAAAAAAAAGAAAATGAAAATCGAATGATTGTATTAGTAAAGCAGATTTAACCTTTGCTCCTACTAGCTGGCATCCCACTCCATCTCTTTTCTTACGAAAAAGTAACTTGTTGGCGAAAACATCCATAAATATATTGATTGATGTTACCATATCATACAAAAAAATCACATAACACAAACTGATATACAGATTAGTCGAGCTGTATAGCTAAGGAGGCTAAATTATAATTTTAGTGATCAGCTTCAACGATGCTATATATCCCTAATTGGAACCCAATTTTTATAGTTCTCTGGTGGAGGTAAAATTACTCAATTATATTTCCAATGTGAACTCATCATTCTCTCACAATCTGGGCAAGTTTCTCTGGTTAAGATCGACATGTAAAATGATAATATCGAGCTTACTTTTCTTGACCGTTTTTCTCAGCCTCAGAGAAGTTTGTGATGTGAATCTAACAATGGATAGCTAACTCGTAGCGTAACGCATACGTCAAAATGAAAAGTTTTCAGGGTGGCTAGACCTATCCTAGAATCCTGTCAGATTCGATAGGATTTCTTCGACAAGATAACTTCTGATAGTATGATGTCATAAGTTAAAGATTTCTGCTTATCACATATCGATAAAAGTTTTCATGTTGTATTCGACAATATCTGATCCTTCAAAATTACTGGGTAGATTACAGATGCCGTGATATTTTGCTAGATTACCTTACTGGATTAATTTACTGTTAAAATGAAGTAATCCCTCTCTTTCAGAGTTTCTCCATATACAATCACATTTTGGACCATCGTATATCTCTAAACCATACACAGAGAAATATAATCGTATACGAAGAAATACAGAGTAAATTGAAAGCCATAGACGAGTTTTGTTTGTCCATAAACGATCATATTTCTGTGCATACGATCACGGATTTGTACGATTGCAACACTGGGCTATGTGAAACGCCGTATTTCTCTGATTACAAGCGTGTTTGCTTGACATGGATTAATATTGACAACGATTTGATGATACTTAGAAGAAATCGGATATGATGGAATGCGATAACAACAAACAGGGGCACCCCACTGACCAAAAAGTAGAGGATCATATTTCGATGGAAAAGATCAAGCCTTTTCGATATCACGAGATCAAACGATTCCTCACAAACTCACTGTCTGGGCACCATTGAAACCAATGTATTAATTTGCACTGGGAAACGAAAAAGTGAAACTGATTTGCGAAAAATGATAAAAATCATGGAAGAATTCCTGAAAGTTGAAAAAAAAGAAAAAATAACTTTCTCATATGCACAGTCATCCGAAAAAAGGAACAGAAAATAAAAAAAAACATTTAATGAATTCTGATCGTCTCTATTTCTGTGTGCCTATTTAGTCAGATACTACGCAAATAGAATAGACTATTTTTCTAATGTTTTTCGTTTTCTAATGCATACATAAGCAATTGCATAAAAATCTCTATGAACAATTGGAAGTTTCGTTTCTTTTTTACTCTTTCAAGTCATATTCAACTTATATTGATAATGTACGAGTTTTATCGGATTTAGAGTACTATTGTGCCAGTGGGTTTTAGTTTCCTTCGGACGAAACTGTATGCCTCTTTTTCTCCTCTTTTTTTACATAGTATTGGTGGAATGCCAGTGCTACTAGTGATTTACAATATTTCAAACGAATAGCCATACACACAACGTGTTGTCATATATAATTCTTAAAAACAAAAAGCTAGACAGTTGTATTTCGATGTTTTCCAATGTAAATTATTTATTGGTTGCCTCTAGGGCGTTGTTTGTACTTATTGTATACAGTTGTATATCTTCATAACAATCATCATTTGATTTGAATCATCCATTGTCAAATGCGCTTTGTTTGCAACTCAACATTGTGATTACCTCTTTTTTTTAGGTTTCATTTATTTCATGATCTCCTTCCATCATCTCTTCATCTGATGTATCACTTTCATAATCGCAAATGCCTCAAATTTTGTAAACACGAAATATGTTATTTTTATTTTAAAATCACTAAATAATTAAATCTGGGAATAGATAAAGACAATGATCAGGGAAGAAATCGAGAAGTTTCTTTTCCTTTGTTTTAGATAATGAGCAATAAGAAGAATTAAGACAATGATTCTTCTTATTTATAAAATACGTAGGCCAAAATAATATTTAGAACAACTGAGGAGAAAGAAAAATAAGAGCAAAAGTAATACACTCTATAAACCATTTCAACTTTTATGTTGATCCTGACCTTTTAATATAATTGACTGTTAATAAATGATATTTACTAATTTTGAAATTTATGTATAAATCTAATTAATTAATAACTGATTATATAATTATTTCATTTATTTTACTGACCATAAATCATACTCTTATTCATTATTATTATTATTTGTGAAGGTTCATGATGCCGTTACAATAATTAGTACATTTACAGATACAGCACCAATCGGAATATTTCGATTGGATATATCAACAGTATATAATGAAAAAGAACATGCATTTGAACGAAAATGGGCTCAATTGGTTAATCCGGAAAATATTGCATCGCCTTGTGGTCATTTACTTCTTTCAATATCTGTTACACAACGTGGTGTTTCAACGAAAGTAAGTACCTTTTTATTTGATCACACATTTTTATTTGTTTGTTTTATTCTTTTTAAAGAATGTTGTCAGTGAAGATGTACATGACAATGATGAATTTAAACCATCGTAAATATAAAGGACTTCGTTGGATTGGGTGACCTATTCAGAATTGAGAGAACAAATATACCATGTTGAGACATGTCGAATATTACATAGTAAATCTTATTTTCGTAAGATTTTCAAGGAACTAAAGTCAATTTATTGATCGACGACAATCATTGTGATCTTTGGTATCAGTCGAAAGTATTTGTAAAGAAATTTTTCTTATATACAATTTTGTAGAGCTTTTTATGGGTCACAAGCTCATATACTTAACATTTCTGGATCATCCTATCTTTGATAGATAAAAAATGCAATTTTTCGATGATTTATCACCATTTTTTTCCACAAATGGTGAGTCTTCGTGTCTTCAATAATGTCGACTATAAGAGATGTGACTAAACAGCAAACTTTCTCAGTAATTTCCCGCAATGTAGTATTTTGACTGTTGAAAGTCAAACTCTGTTGTGAAATAAACATGATATTCGGAATCAGCACAACAAATCACAGTGAATAGCTTATACTTTAACTAAATATTTTTCCGCCAAAATTCGACCTGCACTCCTCCTGAGCCGTTTTTTCCTGGATTTCGCCTTGTTGTACTCCACGGATCAAAGTTTGGTGGAAAAATATTTCAAGCTACTCAATGCAATTTTTTATACTGATTCCGAATATCAAGTTTATTTCGCAACAGAGTTTGGTTTTCAACAGTCAAAATGCAGTATTAAAAGAGGAAAATTGCAGATTTCTCAATACAAGGCTATTTTGGACATTATGCACTTATTTTTGAAAACTTCGAAATAATGTGTTTTGTACTACTACATCGCGGGTAATTTCTAAGAAAGTTTGGTGTCTAGTCACATTTTTTATAGTCAACACTATTGAAGACATGAAGACTCACCATTAGTGAAAAACGATGATAAATCATTGACCAGTTGCATTTTTACCTATCAAAGATATGATGATCGAAG